CTATTTTATATTTGTCGTAGTACACACATGCACAAATATATAACTGAAAACATTTCCGCAAAACAATGTAATGCACTTCGATGTTTTAGAAATTTTATGTTCTATTCTATTTTTAAAATCTCTACAGAGATATCTAATAGGCATCTTTAACAAATAGTAATTATATAGTTACATTTAAATAATAGTACAGTAATATGAGCCCTGACCATTTAACAACAACAACAACAAAAATAGATTTTCTCAATAGAGAGGCCAGAGGAAGAAAATGAGACATGTAAAAAAAATAAAAATATTTATTCATCATGTTAGATCAGAAACTAATTTCTAAAAGAGGTGAATAGACATATAGAATATGTGAATATTACTTAAAAATATGAAAACAGCCTGGCCAGGTGCCTCAGTTGGTTGAGCATTGTCCCCTATACCAGAAGGGTTGTGGGTTTAATTCTCAGTCAGGGCACATACCTGGGTTTCAGGTTCAATCCCTGGTCGGCGCTCATGCAGGAGGCAGCTGACCGATGTTTCTCTCTCATCTCTCTCTCTCTCTCTCCTTCTCTCTCTTCCCTTTCTCTCTCTCCAAAATCAGTGAGGGTATATCCTTGGGTGAGGATTTAAATACACAAACACACACACACACACACACACACACACACACACGGAAACAAAGCATGGATGAAACTATCTTAAATGCCGAGAGTGTTTCTGTTAGGAAGAATGATGTAACAGGATATGAGTTTGGGAAGATGATGCCTGAGTACTTTTGTATATAGTATATGTACTTATATTATAAATAATTCATATTTTGTTAATTTTTGAGTGCTATTTTGATGAGAATAAAAATTCACTTTAAAAAAGACATAAAAAACAAATTGATGTCACCAGAGGGGACAGGGGTAGTAGTTTGAGTGAAAAAAGTAAAGGAATTAAGAAGTACAAATGGGTAGTTACAAAGTAGTCATGAGGATTTAAGTTCAGCATAGGGAATCTAGTCAATAATATTGTAATAGCTTTGTATGGAGCCAGGTGAGTACTTAAACTATCAGGGAGATCACTTTGTAAATTATATAACTGTCCAATCATTATGCGGCACACCTAAAAATAACATAAGATTGAATATCAACTGTAATTGAAACAAAATTTCTAAAATTTACATGAGAGAGAAAAAAGACACACAATGTACACAGCCACTTTTTCTGCTGACTCTTAGGGACAGGCCTGGTTGTTTCTTGCTGCACACTCAAACCTCTACACCAAATTGTGGCTGAGTTTTGCTCAAAATTTGATAGTGCTTACATTTCAGATCAGGGTTCCCAACCTTTCTGCAGAGCATGAAGATACCTCTTTCTTTAAAAGAGAGGCAGGCTAGCCAGTAGCTAAGAATGTACACCTTGGAGCCAGACCCTGGGTTCAGATCCCAGCTTTGCCACTTACTAGCTATAGGACTTCAGGGAAGCCTCTTATCTTGTCTGCCTCCCAGTTTCACAGTCTGTTGTGTAGAGATAATAACAGTGCTTAACTCTAAGGGTGTTATGAAAGTTAAATAAGTTCATTTTTATAAGCGCTTAGAACAGTGCCTAACAGATTACATTTATAAAATTCACAAGAAGGTAGTACTTACCCTTTTGAATCTATAGATCAAGGACATAATTTACACTTAAACTTACCATAAATTTAGTTGTTATAATAACTATGAAAATACATATGTAATATTCATATTTGATTATTATATTATAAATAATTCATATTTTGTTCATCACACTTGTGTCTGCACGGTTTTCAGAGTATATATCTGTAGAATATGCTATTATTTATCTGTTTATAGACAATGTTTAATGTGCATAAGAATTTGCAATAAATTTGAGGAGGTCTGAAATTCACAACACACATCTATTGTCATAGATTGACCCCCAATATATGTAAAGTAGAACCTATAATTGGTCATTTTAAACTGATTAGAATCCTCCCAGAATTTTTTATGGTGATACTACACTAATATGAGCATCCCCCCACACACACACATACACACCTGCCAGAATCGTGGCCCAAGATCAACCTGTGAGAATTAAGTAAACAAAACCCACAGAGACAGCAGGAGTTTAGCTCCTTGGAAACCTAACATGAGATGTTGACTACAGCTAATGGGAGGTACACTTAGAATGCAATGGTAATCAAGAAAGCTTAAATCTAATTTATTCCATTGCCTGAGATTGACTGTATTGATATAAAGTGTTAGGCACAGAGTGGGAGATGGCTGAAAAACAAAAGGTGTCTATTAATCTCTTCCACTGTTTAGGGGAGAAGGCACCCTGACTTATGAACACAAATATTCCAATCTCTTTAACACAAACATCCCTGCACTATGGAAATGTAAATCCTGGTTACTGCATCTATGTTCATTTGTTCTGATCCAAGTTTATCAAGCAATACTCTAGTGATAATTTGGCTTTCTGCGTAGGTTACTCTATAAGTAAAATCATGTTCATTATAAGTGAACAAATCCTGAATTACACAGCAGTTACTATGAATGGATTTCTTTAGAATGAGGCCCAAGGGAATCCTCAACTCTGGGTGCCCAGAAGAAGAACAGACCAGAGAACAGGATGCTGGAATGAGGGGAACATGGATACTCTTGCCTCATTCCCAGACGTTGTCTGTAACTGTCTCTCCATCTCATCTTTTATAACTGAAACTTGGCCTGATACAGAACCCCCACTCCCAGTGCTGTCATAATTTTGGGTTTCCCTGGTAGGTAAAGTCCACTACTAAATTGTTGTCTCCCAGAAAAGTGGGCTAAGGTACATTTTTGGCTTTGACACCCAGTTCTGATTTTGAATGTGTGCTACAGCAATTCTTTTAACTAATTTTATTAACATACTACACTGATTCATTTGGTTCAACAGTCATCTAGAACAATGAGTAACATTTTGGGGGGGGAATACATCATTATAAAAAGGGATTATAAAAGTGTGGAAGCAACCCAAGTATCCATCAATAGATGAATGGGTAAGCAAAATGTGTTCTATACATACAATAAAATACTATCAGCCTTAAAAAGGAAGGAAATTCTGACATATTAGCATATATAGGTGAACCTTGAGGACATTATACTAAGTGAAATAAGCCAGTCATGAAAGGACAAAGACTGTATGATTTTATTTATATGAGGTACTTAGAGTAGTCAAATTCAGAGACAGAAAGTATAGAGGTGGTTTCCAAGGGCTGCAGGGAAGAGAGAAAGAGGAGTTGTTGTTTAGTGGATACAGAGTTTTGGTTTTACAAGATGAAAAGAGTTATGGAGATGGCTGGTGGTGATAACACAACAGAATGAATGTACTTAACGTCACTGAATTTTGTACTTAAACATGGTTAATGCAGTAGGCAGCTAGACAGGCATGAGCAGAGCAAGAACAATAGTCAGGTACGGAAGGTCACCAGGGTAGAAAGCCCCAGGCACCTACCAACAGGCAAAACTGGGCTGGGACCTAGCCCCCAGGGTTACCTTTCCTTCCCTAGCATATCAGGGTTTAGACCCCATGCCCTTTCATATCATTACTCATGGGGCTGCGACCCTCCCCTGACCTTTCCTCCTGTAGCATGTTGCTAGTCATATGGGCTATACCCCCACCCCTCAGAGGAGGAAAGAACAAGGCGGCCAGAGAACAGCCCTTAAGCATTAAGTCCCCACAACAGTGAGGTTTGGGCCCCCATCAAATATATCTCAGCCTCAAGCACACCATGGCTGACATCAGGACCAGCTGCATTGACTAAAGACCTCTGGCACTAACCAATCAGTGGAGATCACGGGAACACACCTAAAAAGCTAATGAATATTCCATTGAGATCCTTTCCTGATACTTCCAGATAAAACACTTCAAGACTAAGGATCCAGGTTTGCTAGTGCGCGCTCTCTCTCTCTCTCTCTCTCTCTCTCTCTCTCTCTCTTTCACACACACACACACACACACACACACACACACACACACCTGAAAGTCTGCCTTTCCCCACACCCTTCCTTCAAGGCATTTTCTTTGTCTCTCGCTTCCCCTAAGCTCCAAGATCCCTTCTTTGGCCTCTATAACTTGTTTCCTTTCTTCTATGGCTCATTGCTTCTTCCTCTGTGACTGTCTAAATAAGCTTTCTCTTATAATTTGAGCCCTGGCCAGTTTTGGCCTGCGGTCCAGAGAGACTGGGGTTCAGTTCCTGCTAAGGGCACATACCTCCATTGCAATTTGTCCCCGGCCCTGGGGCCCTGGTTGGGTCGTGCGGGAGGCAGCACTCAATGTGTCCCTTTCACATCGATGCTTCTCTCTGTCTCTCTCTTCTTCTCCCTCCCTCCCACTCTATCTGAACAAAAAGTGGGAAAATGTCCGCAGGTAAGGATTGAAAAATTTTTTTTTGAGTCTTGGCTCTGAATTCTGTCTTAGGTAGAATTCAAGAATTGAATTTGCTGAACTGAGGTCCGATCACCGGTAACAAGTGGTGCCGTTTTCAGCTGCAACAATTAACATTGTGAGTTTTGTTATGTGTATTTTACCACAATAAAGAAAAAACTGACGGGGAAAAAAAAAGATGAATTATAGTTCCTGTCCCAAGGTGCTTATTACAACCTCGAGAGGCCAAACAGCAGGGTGGCAATGGTGTTAATGGAACGCAGGCTAAAGGTTGATACTGAGGAGACCCAGCCTGTCTCACGAAGAAGCTGACACAGGAGGTAGAACATTACTACCTCTTTTAAATGCTCCAAATTCGTTTAGCAGAAGCCTTCCCGTCCAGCCTGCAGAACAAAAGGTTGGACTGAACGTGACTGCCTTATGCTCACCTGTTCTCAGGTTTGAAATCGACAAGCCCTCTCCGGCCCAGCAGATGGCGCTCGCGCCCGCAGTGCACCTTCCGGACCACAGGGGACGCTCTAGCAAGGCGTCTCCTCCCCTTCTCAGTGACCTGTTCGCCTACAGAACCCGCCTCTTCGGCAGCGCGCAGCTGCGCACAAACTTGCTGGGCCTTGGAGGAGCATGGCGGCGTCTTCGGTGGGCGAGAAGGAGCGGCCGGGGGTCGGCTCGGGAGCGGCGTGCGGGAACAGCACGCGAGAGCGGCTGCTGTCTGCGCTGGACGATCTGGAGGTATTGTCCAGGTAATACGGGCGGCCTGAGGGCCTGGTTGCGGCGGGGTTGGGAGGGCTGACTGCGGACCGACCGGCCCTGAGTGGGCGCTAGTTCCCGAGTTTGGCAGGGAGGAGACCCCGGCGCGCACTCCCACAGACAATGTCCGAGTGACGTCGACGTGGTGTCGCAGTCCTGCGGACTCTGAGACGGCACCCCCCACACCTCCAGCGGACATTTTAGTCCTGACAGTAACCCTGCAATCCCAAGACTGTCAGAACCGTGGCAGACGAAGATCGGTGTGACTTCCTTCGACCGTGGTCACTATACACACATTTGAAGAACTTTCGCCGGGTGCCAAGCGCAGGAAGACGGTAGTGAGGGTGAGACTGGATGTGGACGTGAAAAGCCCACTCTCTCAAACGCGAAGACAGCGGGACCTGATGTTAGAGGTGTGCGCTGCGGTGCCGGAGCCCTGGGATTAGGCGCCTGCCAGGTTGTAATCAGGGTTGGCTTCTTGGAGAAAGGGCTGCATAGCAAGATAACCAGATTCACTGAGCGGCAGGTGGCTGGAGCAGCATGTACAAAGGCCTGGAAACCTGAGCACAACAACTTGCTGGCATTGCCAGTTTGGGATGGCTGGGGTGCAGCGTGTGTAGCAGAGATATCTGATGAAATTGCGTGTCATTTTTTTTTTTAATCTGGCATCGTTCATGATAGTCTGTTAAGTGAGTGCCCCCTCTTAATTCCTCACATTCACTTGGGTATTAAAATTGTTTTGGTTCTTTCTCCTAAAATGTTGCTCAGATTTGATCTCTTGTTCCCATACCCACTGTTTTACATTCCATCATAAATCTTTCTTAATGCAGCCTCCCAACAGTTTTAGTTACCTTTATGAATCTTCACTATGTCAATTTTGCCCAAGAGCAGAGAGCTTTTTAAAAGGCACCTCAGTTCACTTTTCTACTTTAAAATAGTTGTTAGGTACCCATTGCCCCCTGAGATAAAGTCCATATTCTTGACCTTATTGTGCATGTGCAATAGATAAAGCCATTCTCCTCTTAATCCATCCTATTATCCTCATTTATGCCACATTCCCTCCACCCTTCCATGCCCTTCACTCCAGGCTCCTGAATGCTCCCCATTCTAAAGCTAGTCATACTTCCTCATTCCTAATGCCACACCCACTCCACCTCCAACTTGATAACTCATTCATTCATCCAGCTCAAATGTCACCATTTCCAGTAGCCAACGTTCATTGACAGCTTTAGAATAAATCTTATATATTGTATTACTTGACCTACTAATAATCAGCATTTTGTCTGCTGTGCTTTAGTCCTTGTCATAAGCAAGCATTGTTTACCAGCTTACTAAATCAGCACAATATTAAATGATGTAATAAAAACACACAGACCATAAATTAAATAGCTCACGTGTTTTATCCACTGTTTATTTAGACTGTATTAAACTCAGATACTGCTTGACTACAAGTAGGGCACATGGAATATTTAGTCATCCAGCAGTCAGTACAGTGAACATAAACTCAGGCACAAGGCATCTGTCTTAATGTGTTGCCTCTGTGAAGTAACACCAGTGCTGTTTCCTTGTCTTTGTTGGTTTAGTATTTCCTGGTGTCAGTTAATCCCGTCATCCTGTAATCCTGTCAATGAAGACCAGCATGATTTCTTAGTAAAGACCCTAGCAAGACAGAACTTTCTTAAATTTTCAGTTAAATTATTTATGTCTCTGCTCTGTGTGACATGACTGTCATTGGGACAGTTAATTGAAGCTTCATTTAGTTTATGTTGGGGGCTTATTCTTTGTAAGTCATTAAACATCAGGTTGACATCCCATAAATGCTGTGAGCCCACTGCTTTTCTAAATAGGATCAACTGTTATTTGAAAAAAATCAGTGCATTCATCCTAATGAGTGCTTTTAGATTCACTGGTCATTGGAACTGTGTCTCTGAGTAGCTTGACTCGCCTTGAATAGGTAGCCATGTAGTTGTGATACAAATTTGTGTTTCATTAGATTCAGAACAACTAATAACTAATTGGAAAATACTTCTGTTGCTCCTGTATGAGCCAGTTCCTGTATGACCCAGTTTTTCCACTTCCTTGAATTCTGGATCTTCTGTTTGAAATGGTCCTTTGAACTATTTCTTCTCTGGCAATGTCTCACCTGAAAGCCAATTCTAATACTTGATTGGCTTCTAAAAATCTATTCTAAGGAATCTTAATGATGCTGTTGAGTATGGAATCAGTCTAATTAAAATGTTCCTTATTATTTATTTTGATCAACCATATGATCTGGATGGTAGTGATTATTTTTCTGTATATATGTTGACTTTGTGAAGAAGTGGCACCCCTTTTGGGAAGTAGTGACTGCTGCCTTTTTGTTCTGAGTGGGTATTAGTCTTAGAATTTCAAATCTTTACCTTAGTGTAGTCAGTGAGGACATTCAGCTGAGGACATTCACCTTCTCACTCTTCTACTGTGAAACCCCGTAAATTCATTTCTCTCTTGAGCTTTACTTACTGTAATATAGTTTGTTGGTCTGTTTTGCTGAGTAACCCTAGAATATATTTCATATTCACTAATTTCAGGAACTGTGTTTTGTAGTCTGCCCATCAGGGTAATGGTCTTGGAGAATTTCTTCTGACATTGGACAACCCAGCAGTCAATCTTGAGTTCTTGCTTCCTGGATCGTTGTGCTACTGAGCTGTGTATCTGAGGTGTGTTTTCCTAATGCTATCAGTACCTGTAGGAGTGCATATGCTTGATATTCATGTACTGTCCACTTGAGATAGCATAATTGATTCATAAGTTACGTTAAATTTGAGACTAAATTGAAATTCTTTTGTTCTAGATTGGACCAATTTCTCACAGTTTGTATTTAATCTTTTCCTTGATTACCAAGTATAGTATTTTCTGTGTGGTGAAATGTTTTTCCTCACTGAAGTAGTAGATCATCGTTTAAATTTTCCTCAAGAACCTCGGTGTTTCTGAAACATATCTTTGGAATTCCACTTAAAAGAGGTGCTCTTTTGCTTCCTCTAAAAGAAGCTGTATTTCCTCTGTTGCTCTTTTTTCTGGAATGTCAAAAAAGACTTTGATTTCTCATTAATTTGTAGTCCTCTCTGAATCGACATGTTGACAGGTGATAGGCGTCTTCTTTCTTTCAGCAGCCTGTGGTAATAACCATTATCTTAGAAGTTCATTTTTCTTTTTCTCTTATTTCTTCCTGACTTACCTGTCATGCTGTTTTATTTGTTCATCTCTAAAGAAAGACAGAATGACAGTTGGTAAGTGAAAATATACCTCTTTTACGATCTTGGTAGTTCGTGGTGTCACTTTGTGGTTTGCCCCTTTAGACTCACTGAAACTTCTCCACAAAATGAGGCTGCTCCAGTGTGATTGGTTTTCCAAAAAGTCCAATTATGTGCCCAGACATAGTACATATACTGATTCTGTGACCTGTGAAGTTTGTCATTATCCTCTGAATGAAGTTTGTCTTGTTTTTATTTTTTTATGAAAAATGAAAAGAAAGGCTTCTGATTAATGTAACCTTTGACTTTACAAAAGTTTGAAGTTTGGAATATATTTTTTATTGTTACTTGATTATGTAGCTTTTCAGTATATATATATATTACTTTGTAAAATGAATAGAAAATGGTACTCTTTGAAGGAAGTAAAAAAAAAAAAAAAGACATATAGATGGATTGTAATCTAAAAGTTTTTCTTAACCTGTTTGTAACTCAGAATTCATTGTCCCACAGAAACCATGTTGATAGTAGTCTTAAGGTTTCCACACGAGTCTGTGAATTCTGTTTACCTCTAATTTACCTCAAATGTAGTTGACCCTTGAACAGTGCAAGGTTACAGACACCAATCTCAATCTACCATTCACTCCAATATCTACATATAACTTTTTTAAAAATTTATTTATTTTTGTTACAGATGTTTCTCCTTTTCCCCCCACTGATTCCTCCCTCCCCCTCCCTCCTCACCCTGTTCCCAACTTTGTTGCCCATGACCTTTGTTCATGCATAAATGCATATAAGTTATGTGGTTTATCTCACCCCCACCACCCCCCATTCTGGGATTTTCAGACTGTACCCCACTTCCACATCTCTGGGACTACCCCATTCCTTAGAATGTTATGTTCATTATATTCCACAAATAAGTGAGATCATATGATACTTGTCTTTCACTGTCTGGCTTGTTTTGCTTAGGATGATACTTTCCAGGTCCCTCCATGTCGTCTCAAACGATAAGAGATCTTTCTTTCTTACAGCTGCCTACTCCATTGTGTATATGTACCACAGCTGTTTTATCCATTCGTCAACTGATGAACATTTGGGCTGTATCCAGATCTTAGCTATTGTAAATAGTGCTGCTGTGACCATGGGGGTACATACATTCTTTCTGATTGGTGTTTCGGGCTTCTTAGGGTATATTCCTAGAAATGGGACCACTGGATCAAATGGAAGTTCAACTTTTAATTTCTTGAGCTAACACCATATTGTTTCCATAGTGGCTGCACCAGTCTGCATTCCCACCAGCAGTGTACTAGAGTCCCCTTTTCTCCACATCCTCGCCAACACTTGTTGTTTGATGATTTGTTGATGGTGGCCATTCTGACAGGTGTGAGGTGATATCTTGTTTTAATTTTGCATCAATCTGATGATTAGTGATGTTGAGCATTTCTTCATATGTCTCTTAGCTATTTGTATGTCCTGTTTAGCAGGTGTCTATTTAGTTCCTCTGCCCATTTTTTAATTGGGTATTTTGTCTTCTTTTTGTTGAATTGTGTAAGCACTCTCTATATATAGGAAATTGACACCTTATCTGATATATCATTGGCAATTATGCTCTCCCATACAGTGGGTTGCCTTTCCATTTTGATGATTGTAACTTTTGCTTTGCAGAAGCTTTTTAGTTTGATGTAGTCCCATGTGCTCATTTTCTCCTTTGTATCTGTCGCCTTAGGTGATGTATCAGTGAAAATTGTGCTGTGAATGATGTCTGA